TTATAGATAATGCTACTATAAACATAAGGGTGCACTTATCCCTTTGATTCAGTATTTTTGTATTCTTTGTGTAAATACCTAGTAGTGCGATTACTGGATCACAGGGTAGTTCTACTGTTTTCTACAGTGGCTGTACAAGTTTGCATTCCCACCAACAGTGCAAGAGGGTTCCCCTTTCCCGACATCCACACCACTACCTGTTGCTTCTTGTTGATTTTAGCCATTCTGACAAGTGTGAGGTGATATCTCATGGTAGTTTTGATTTGCATTTCCCTGATGATAAGTGATGTTGAGCATCTTTTCATGTGTCTCTTGGCCATTTGTATGTCTTCTTTGGAAAATTGTCATGTCTTCTGTCCATTTTTTAATTGGACCCTTTGTTTTTTGGGTATTGAGTTTTAGAAGTTCTTTTATATATTTTGGATACTAACCCTTTATCAGATGTGTCATTTGCAAATAACTTCTCTCATTCCATACATTGCCTTTTAGTTATGTTGATTGTTTCCCTCACTGTGCTGAGGCTTTGTGTTTTGATGTAGTCCCAACAGTTTATTTTTGCTTTTGTTTCCCTTGCCTCAAAAAAGTTGCTACAGCCAATGTCAGAGAGATTCCTGCCTGTGCTCTCTTGAAGGATTTTTATGATTTCAGGTGTCACATTTAGATCTTGAATCTCTGTTGAGCTTATTTTTTGTGTATGGTGAAAGAGAATGGTCCGGTTTCACTCTTTTGCATGTTACTGTTCAGTTTTCCCAGCACCATTTGTTGAAGAGATAGTCTTTCCCATTGGATATTCTTTCCTGCTTTGTTGAAGATTAATTGACCCTATAATTGTGAGTTTATTTCTGGGTTTTCTATTCCATTGATGTATGTGTTTATTTTTGTGTTTATTTTTGTACCATACTGTTTTAACTACTACAACTTTGTAATATAAATTGAAATCTGGAATTGAGATGCCTCCAGCTTTGCTTTGCTTTGCTTTTCAAGACTGCTTTGACTATTCAGGGTGTTTTGTGGTTCCATACAAATTTTAGTATTGTTTGATCTAGTTCTGTGAAGAATGCTGTTGATATTTTGATAGGGATTGCTTTGGGTAGTATAGACATTTCAACAATATTTGTTTTCCCAATCCATGACCATGGAATGTTTTCCTTTTTGTGTGTGTCATCTCTAATTTCTCTCATCAGTGTTTATAATTTTCAGAGTATAGGTCTTTTACCTCTTTGGTTAGGTTTATTCCTCCATATCTTCTTATATTTGTTGCAATTGTAATGGGCTTGATTTCTTAAATTCTCTTTCTGCTGTTTCATTATTCGTGTGTAGAAATGCAACAGATTTCTTGGTGCATCTTACTTTTTACAAGCTGCAATTCCTCACCTTGTCTCTTCCTCCATTTATTTTCAAAATCAAGGAAAATCTTTGATGATTAGAAATAGTTTACAATCTATATTCTAGTACCTATGATTATTACAAAACATTCCAGTGTTTAAAAATCCTTAAGCATAATCTTTCATTTGCTGATATTAGACTCTTCATGAAAGGCAAGCCCAACCCTAAATTACTAAATCATTATCATCACAAAATGAAAACCTGATATTTTGGTGTCTAACTCAAACAGTCAAAAATTCCCTCTATTTTAGTAATGCTAAATTTTTTTCTAGATTATTTCACTGAGTCATTCAATAATGCACCAGAAATATTATATATAAATGGTATATATAAACACATATACACACATATAATAGTGTGTGTGTCTGTGTGTGTGTGTGTATATATTTATATATATATTAGACTCTATGTAATATACCAATACAGTAATATAATACTCTATATAATATATACTGTATTCCTTTACAAGAACAATGTGAGACAGATTCAAAGCCCCAAGATTCTCTGTCTCTGGAAGAACAAAAAATATTAATACATAAAGACACAAAAAGGATGTGTCAGGATCTGGTGAAAGGGTAATTTGTGTTCTCATTTCTACTCTATCTTATAGAATTTTTTCTTGGGGTTATAATAATGTGTTTTGAGAAAGTATCTCTATGGAAACTTCAATTATTATTCTCACATACACACTTTGCTCACTCACCCACCTCCTTACGCATCTTCAAGATGGAGGGCAGAAACCACAAAAAGACCCATATCTACTGACTGTGATTAGTGAGAGAGGGAGGCTGTGCCCCAGCACATACCCTCCTGAGTGGAGAGCCCTGTGAAACCCTAAATGCAATTCGCTGAGCAGCAAACCAAGAGTACAGTGCCTTAAATGAACAGATCAAGCTGCCACACAAAACCCACACTTCTGCCACTTGCAAAAAAGCTGGTATAGGCTCTTGGGCACGAGTCTTACTGTCCCTGCTGTGAGATGGCTTAGCAAAGTTACCTTGCCAGCAGTCACTTAAGCTGCCAGTAGTTGGAAAAGAAATGGGATGAAGAGAGTGCTTTCTTCTATCTTGGCCTTACTGAGATACTGTTAATGTCTCTCTGGAAGCAAACTAGAGAATTAAATACCTTTGTTAATTTTTTTGAGCCAGAATTTAAAGCAAAATACCCTTCACCAAGATATTTAGAGAAAAGCTATTTGGGAGTTAGGAACTATTATGGGATCAATTGTGTCCCCCCAAAATTCATATTCTGGAGTCCTAGCCCGGTGCTGCAGATTGTCATTGTATTGGAAGTAGGTATTTAAAGTGTTAATTATTTTTTTTTATTTATATATGAAATTTATTGTCAAATTGGTTTCCATACAACACCCAGTGCTCATCCCAAAAGGTGCCCTCCTCAATACCCATCACCCACCCTCTCCTCCCTCCCACCCCCCATCAACCCTTAGTTTGTTCTCAGTTCTCAGTTCAAATGAGGTCTTTAGGTGGGTCTTAATCCAATGTGACTGATGTCCTTATAAGAAAACGAGATTAGGATACAGACATACAGAGAGGAAAAAAAACAAACAAACAAACCCATGTAGAGACACAAGAAGCTACATAGCCATCTACAAGTCAAGGAGAGAGGCCTGAGAAGAAAGCAATCTTGCAGACACCTTGATCTCAGACTTCTAGCCTCTGGAGCCATGAATTTCCATCATTTAAGGCACCCAGTATGGCAACTCTGGCAAGCTAATATGGGAATAGTTTACAAAAGGTAAAAAAGTCAGATCATGACCTTAAACTCAGGTCTAAAACAGCTTCCCTCTTCAGCATATCCTCCCACACTCATCTAGGTATGATTACTTACATTTTTGGTCTGGACAGGCCATCCCCTGATTGGCTCCAGCTGTGAACCGAACCTGGTACCTAAACACCATATTTGAGTTCTCAATCCACATCTCTGAATTCCAGACCTGCTGGCTGCATTACCCTTATTGGCCTTCCAAAGTTGGCATCCAGGACTCAGCACCCAGATCCTGCTGTACACTCATAATCCATTGCTACCTCCGCTGAGGGCTAGCTCTGGGTTTGGAATCACAGTTGTATTCTTTGTTCCCCTGACAGTTCCTCAAAGCTGGGAAGGGCAATATGGTGGGCAATGTAAGCTCTTTCATTCAGCCATTCTGAAATTCGCCCCACAACAAATTTAAAATGTAAATTGTAAAGTTTACATCATTGTCTGAGCCCCTCAGAGAAAGGAGGACCCTTTACATCCAGAAAATTTTTACAAAGCTGCTCTGTTGCACACAGTCTAGATGATCATAGAGGCTACTGGAAGTCACTTGAGAAATGGAATAGGCGGTGAACAATTAGGTTTCTCAGTTTAAAATCAATTCCTTATTGCTCTTAATACCAATCAGAAACTTGTTTACAAAGTGCTATGACGGTAATAATATAAATTGCTGTTTGTTAAATCTTTTTTTCTTTGTTGGACAGTTCAAATCTATTCTTTTTCCTTAAGATTGTTGGCACTCTTAGTTGTCACTGAAAAAAACTTATTCCTATAAATAAATACAGGTTTTTGTAATATGCTTTTATGCTATTTTCAGAAAAATGAGATAACTATAGACATTTCCACTTTTTATTCAATGTTCAACCCTCATTAGAAGGAAAAGTTGTAGGAAAGGAATAAATTCCTTTTAAAACTTCACATAACTTTCCTTTTGGTCTGTTTCAAATAGTAATGGACCTAGTTAAAACAGGAAGCTCAGGGTGATGGCTGGCTTTATCAAGAATGGTACATGAGCAAAGAAAATTTAAAGAACTTCTTAAATAGCCAAATCCATGTCAAGTGGCTCTTGTGATCTGGAGGGAAGGGAAGCTTTGGTGGGAAAAAGCTGAGAAAGGTTTCTCCTACTCCAAAAGGCTTTCCTAGGCATTGGAAGAAGGGGGGAAAATGTACTTTGTTGTGTTATTTATAGAAAATACTTATATCTAGATATTTCAATTAGTTTTTTAAAGTACAAATTTCCGGGGTGCCTGGGTGGCGCAGTCGGTTAAGCGTCCGACTTCAGCCAGGTCACGATCTCGCGGTCCGTGAGTTCGAGCCCCGCGTCGGGCTCTGGGCTGATAGCTCAGAGCCTGGAGCCTGTTTCCGATTCTGTGTCTCCCTCTCTCTCTGCCCCTCCCCCGTTCATGCTATGTCTCTCTCTGTCCCAAAAATAAATAAACGTTGAAAAAAAAATTTTTTTTTAAAAATAATAAAGTACAAATTTCCCATCAATGTCTGTTCAAGAGTAGAATAATTATATTAGACTTAAGAATTTTATTTTTAAAATCAAGTAAAAAATGACACCTTGGAAAATAGAATTTTTATTTTTATCTTAAAGCAAGCTCAGTTTTGAGGTGCCTGTTTACAAACTTTCTTCATTTAATTGGTTTTCTTAATATGAAATAGTATTTCCAGAACTAATTAAAAATTTATTCTAATGAATTTTCAAGACCAAAATATGTTATCTTTGCAGTACAGTATATAGATTTTTAAATCATCCATGAAGGTAATTATATTTTTTTACATTCTTAAAAAGTCATATATTGTTATTGATGCCAAATGGGTTGTTTGCTTTCTCTCAGGCCATGATTGAAGAAGCCATCACCAGAGCAGAATCTTTCTCAGTTATGTATACACCATTTGCAACAAAAATCAGAGCTGATAAAATAGAAAAAGTAAGAGAGGTTTTCACAAAAACTCATCCTGCATATGTGGAATACATCTACACAGGTAATATTCAAGTTGTCAGCTGCTAGTTTGTTTCCATTAATAAAATGGGTCATTTCTGCTTTGTTTGTTTATTGTTTCAGTTTTAGGAGTACATTGCTATTGGTGGTGGGTTTGGGTTTTTTTTCATTTTATTGTATTTTTTTTTTCATCATGATAAGTATACTTTTTAATCCCCATCACCACCCCATTCTCCCACTCACCTCCCCTCCAGTAGCCAGCAGTTTGTTCTCTATAGTTAAGAGTCTGTTCTCGGTTTGCCTCTCTCTTTTTTTCCCCTTTGCTCATTTGTCTTGTTTCTTCTATTTCACATATGAGTGAAATCATATGATATTTATCTTTCTCTGACTGACTTATTTCGCTTAGCATAATACTGTTTAGCTCCATCCATGTTGTTGCAAATGACAATGTGAGTGTTGCAATGTAAGTGTCATTGCAAGTGACAAGTAAGATTTCACTCTTTTTATGGCTAAGTAATATTCCATTGTATTCTGTATCCATTCATCAATCAGCGAACCCTTGGGCTGTTTCCATAATTTGGCTATTGTAGAAAATGCTGCTATAAACATCAGGGTGCATGTATCCCTTTGTATTTTGGGGATAAATACCCAGTAGTGCTATTGTTGGGTTGTAGAGTAGTTATATTTTTAATTTTTTGAAGAAACTCCATACTGTTTTCCAGAGTGGCTGCAGCAGTTTGCATTCCCACCAACAGTGCAAGAGGGCTCTCCTTTCTCCACATCCTTGCCAATGCTTGTTGTTTCTTCTATTTTTTTATTTTAACCATTCTGAGAGGTTTGAGGTGATACTTCATTGTAGTTCTGATTTGCATTTCCCCCTGGTGATAAGTGATGTTGAGCATCTTTTCATGTGTCTCTTGGGCATTTTTTGTCTTCTTTGGAGAAATATCTGTCCATGTCTTCTGTTCATTTTTTATCGGAATATTTGTTTTCTGGGTATTGAGTTGTATCAGTTCTTTATATATTTTGGACACTAACCTTTTACCATATATGTCGTTTGCAAACATTTCTCCCATTCAGTAGGTTGCCATTCAGTTTTGTAATTGTTTCCTTTACTGTACAGAAAACTTTTTTTTACATAGTTCCAGTAGTTTATTTTTACTTTTATTTCCCTTGCTTCAGGAGACCTATCTAGAAAAAAGCTGCTATAGCCGATGTCAGAGAGATTCCAGCCTATGCTCTCTTGAAGGATTTTTGTGCTTTCAGGTCTCACATTTAGGTCTTTAATCCCTTTTGAGTTTAATTTTGTGTATGGTAAAATAAAGTGATCCAGTGTCATTCCTTTTGCATATGGCTGTCCAGTTTTCCCAACACCATTTGTTGAAGAGACTGTCTTTTTCTCATTGTATATTGATTTCTCCTTTGTCAAAAATTAATCGACCATATAATTATGGGTTTATTTCTGGATTTTCTATTCCATTCCTTTGATCTATGTGTCTATTTCTATGCCAGTACCCTGCTGTATTAATTACTACCGCTTTGTAATACAACTTGAAATCTGGAATTGTGATACTTCCAGTTTTGTGTTTCTTTTTCAAGATTGCTTCAGCTGTTTGGCGTCTTTTATGGTTCCATAAAACTTTTAGGATTGTTTAGGAGGACATTGTTTTAATCTGATGAGTTGAAACAGGAGGTTATTTTAAGGTTTTAAGTAGAACTAATCCTATGGATCTAGCACAATATTCCTTGTACCATGGTGATTCTATGCGTGAAAAGGAGAAACCCTAAGACTTTTTTAAATGAAAAAATAACATGTTATAAAATGCCACCTTTCCCCATACTCTTCATTAGTAAACTAGATGAGTATATTATTTTCCTAAAGATGGATTTTTTTCCAGTGCTATTTCTACTCTCCTTCCATCTCTCTCACACTTCAAACCTCCCTCTTTCCTTATGTTCTTGGATCACTGATATCCCAATGAGATCTGGATGGTCAAGTGTACGTAGAGGACACAACATTAGTGTTATCCTTTTTTCCTCATTTTGTCTTTGGAAGCCACTTGCTTTTATTAATTCATTCAAAATACTTTTTAGTATCTATTATGTGCTAGCTATTATTCTGAATTAAGACAAAGATTTTCTTGTACAAAATTAAGAGTCACTCAACAACTACCATGTTGAGGCGAAATCTCTAGATGCACATACCTAATATCTCATCTTCCTATTAAGGGCCTTTCAGTTCCTTTTTTCATGGCTTTGGGGCCAAGTCACTGATTTATATGATTAGTAATGCACTCTGTTAGTGATCACTTTTAAAGTGCCAGGCATTCTACGTTTATTATCTCTTGTTATTCCCAAATCTTTGGAGTAAGATGATTCTTACTTAGAAATAAGAGAACAACAACCAGAGAAAACAAATAGCTTTTCCAAAGATGCACAGCAAATCACTGGTGGCAGGCCTTTGATTTGAACCCATGTCCTTGCCATTGAGCTATACCATTGCCATCTGATAGGAGCAGAGGTGTGATAGAAGCATTAAATTTAGGTTCTATATAGTCCTTGTTTTCTCCACAGTGCCTCAAACTCTGTGGAGGAAAGATATTAAGTAAACCTAACTAGTGATGATTGAATAATGAATCTCTAAAGAACAATGAGAATTTGAGGGCAAGGAAAAGGAAGAGAAAATACAGTGCATGCTATAATGACCATTGATGCTGATTTACTTAGTGTGAGCATTTTGTAAGGAAGTAAATAAAAATGTTTCAGAACTCACATTTTCTGCTAATTGTTATAAATCATTTATTATTTTGTTATGGATATGTTAAGAGTTTGGGGAGGAGTGGCTTTAATAGCACACAAGAGTCATGTCAATCTAGCGTCATGGAAAATGAATCGAATTCAGCTATTTCCATTTCTATTCTCGGATCCATTCGTAATGAAGAGAAATTCATTGAAGATCACCTGTATGACAACTGCTCTACTGGTAGAATGAATTTAGTTATATTTAACCTACTTCACAGAGAAGTCATGAAGGTTAATAAACACTTAGGAAGCACTGTTGTCACTGAGAGCTTAAAAACAATAATACCATTAATAATCCAGATTCATGTCTCATATAACTCCATCAACCTGTTATCAAGATGAATTGTGATCTATTGGCAAGAGATTCATACTAAAGGATCTTATACTTTGGAAAAGATGGTAATTATAAGTTACTAATGATTGTTTCTATTATTTTATAATTACTAATTGCTGGAGTATGACAGTGCTATATACGAAACTAGAGAGGAAAGACAGCTTCTGGAGGTAGAGAAGGCAGTCTAGAATTTTAAATTTCATTGGGATTGGGTAGGTTCTTTGCTCTGTAGAACCTGTACCTTGGGCGAACAAAGAAGGGTATTGCACTGATGACATTACTTGTCTCTGTTACAAATCAGTAAAGGATCTTCCCCCAAAGTCATTGCTGGAATGACAGTGAAACCATCGTTATTAACTGTGTATGCACAGCCTTAGTGGTCTGGCTTCTAAGGTGAGTGAGGACACAAAGCATAGGAATAGGAAAGGTCAAATGTTATCTTTAGCATCTTACAGGTGGTACTAAGTGATTAGGGCAGGCATCCGTAGCCAAAGGTAGTAGCTAGAAAGAGAGTCACACTAAGAGGGTAGCTATTTTGTTTTATTGGCACTTCTCCAAAACCAGGATTTTCCTTTTATCTGCCTTGTAGATGGAATTTAAGAAACTTTTATTCTGCCAAAAATGTATTCAGTTATTTATTCCAACAAATAGCCATACAGCAGTATGACTGGACAATCACAAAGCAGATGTGTGCAGACATGAGGCTTTTTTTTCCCCTACACATATTCAGTGTTTGTCTGTCCAGAGCCAATAATATATTCTATCCCATTGCAAAGGAGTCAATCTCATTCAATCATTTCTAAAATTTAGTCTTTCTTCAGTAACTATTAAATCAAATTCACCAGCTTCCTTCCCCTTCCCATGAGATTTTCTTCTCCCCCTGGTCTGGTTTCAACTTTCACATAGCTCAGACATATCCAATATCCAAAGAGGTCAGTAGGCATGTGAGGAATGTTTCTTTTTTCAGAGTTTGGTGCAGGTTGGTACAGTTGCTGATTACATAGCTAATTCAACTTCAGATAATCTCTGTTGGTTTGAGCAGGACCAGATGGGTTCATTTATGTAACACATTAGGTGATCAAAGGATACGTATATGAGTTCCCCATGCTGCCTTTTGGTGTAGATGCTTCTTTATATGTACACCAACCACCCTCACCACATAACTTGACCCAACCTACAGCCATTCTCTGAGATTCCCTTTCCCTGCCAGAATGCTGGCTTGTAAACCAAGTCACCTTCTGGGTCTTACTCAAGAAATCCCCTTTACTCCACTAAAGACTGAAAGTAATTTTAACCCTCTCTCCAACTTGCTATGCTATTTTTCTATTTCTCTTCTCCCTTTATGCTCCAGAATCCCAAGATCCTCAGGATCAACAATAGAGATGGGTGGTTTGTCATCTGTTCATTTAGTCATCAGACATTTATTGGACACATATATTCCAGACACTATTCTAGGGAGTGCTAGAATATACCTGTTTCTAAGAAGGGATCTGATTTTAGTAATTTGTAATTCAGGGCGAATATTGGACTGTATTTTTCCACTCTTTTATAGAACATTTTCAACTAAAACCTAAGCTCTAATGGTAGGATGGAAGGCTGACTCTAATTAAAATCATGATGGAGGAGAAAACAGACAAGGGAACAGTTTGGAAAGTGCACTGAAAGTGGCAAGACTAGCTAGTTGTTTACCAAACTATTTTCTCCCCATATATGCAACTAGAATACATTTCCAACCTCCCTTACAATTAGGTGAGGCTTGTGACTGAATAATGACCAATAGAATGTGGGCAGAAAAGATGGGGGCCACTTCCAGGCCTGGCCTGTAAAACCCTACATGCAGAACTCTCTTTCCCTGGCTACTGACTGAGTGGATAGGACCATGGAACTGAAGAAGCCACAGACAAAAG